AACAATTAACAATCTGAGATAAGCGGATGACGAGGTGCTACTAACAGAAAGCGAGCGAGAGTTACAAGAACTAGTTGACCAAGCCAACAGGTGGAGTGCAGAGTATGGTTTAGACATAAACATTCAAAAAACAAAAACTATTGTAATTAACAATGGAAAAGAGCGGCCAACAGCGAACATCACAGTAAACAGAGAGTAACAAGTTTCTTCTATCTAGGACACGTAGTAACAGGCGATGGAAGAAGCAAATCAGAAATCAAAAAGAGAATAGGAATGGCTAAAACTGTCTTCAATAAAATATGCAAGTTACTGACAGCTAGAGAGATAAACAACACACTAATAATGAGAACAGTCAAATGTTAGTAGTCAGTCGTGCTGCATGGTGTAGAAACTTGGACAATAAACTAGCAACTAGGTTAGTTGCGTATCCTTTACAGGACGTTGCAGAACCAACCCCAACAGCCCCTGGCTGGTGTGTGGTTTTTCTAGGCAAATTTACGTCCAGTAGTTTGCCATTCAACCCTAGTCTGGAACTCGGCTACGCAGATGACACAGTCCTCCTTTCGAACAGCGTAAAGGGAATAGTAAATTTAATATTGTCCGTCCAAAAGCACAGTGAAGATCAAAATCTGTTCTTGAATTTAAAGAAAACGAAAATAATGTCCACAGATAAAACTGGCTGTCACCCAAAAATAACAATAAATGATGAAGAAATTGAAAATGTCACAAACTTTGAATATCTAGGCTCTATAATAAACAACAATGGAGACTGTTCGACATAAATTAAAAGGAGGATGGCCATAGCAATGCAAAGATTGAACAACCTTAAAAGTCTATGGTTAAGCACCAGCAAGGAGATAAAAATTAGAATTTTGAGAGTATGCATCTTCCCTGTGGCTACATACGGATGTGAGTCGTGGACTATCTCTCAGTCCTTAAGAAAGAAAATAGGGGCTTTTGAGCTGAAATGCTATAGAAAGATTCTCAGAATATCTTGGACAAAGAAGATGAGAATTATTGACATCTTAAAAGATCTGAACATCAAGGAAGATTGGCTAATAAACAGCATCCTTTCTCGAAAGCTGAAATATTTTGGTCATATCAAGCGCCACGACGGCTTGGAAAAAATTATAGCAGAAGGCATGTTACCAGGAAGGAGGGGCAGGGGCCGACCGACACGAAGATGGGTACAAGACATAAGTGACTCCTTGAGTGTGAAAGTTTGTTAGGCAGGAGAACTGGCAAGAGACCAAGTTTCTTACAGGCAGACTGTGATGAGAGCGACGTTCTGCAAAGGACCTGCTACATGATGGAGTTTGCCATTGCTTTCTGGATGGTCGGCTTTCTTGATATCACTGTCGAAACCAACGCAAGGCGAAACAAGCAACTAGAGAATCGAAATGAGTCTCTAGAGATATGGGTATACAGAAGAATAGGTCAGATTACATGTAAACAAAAACAGTCCAATACAGAGGTTCTGGAAAGGCTACAAATGAAAAGAGAAGTACTGACAGAAATAAAAAAGAGACAACTGAAATACTTTGGCAACATTAAAAGATGTAACACACTTTTAAAAACCATACTAGAGGGAAAGGTCGAAGGCAAGAGAGCAAGAGGTAGGCAACGAAAGAAATAGGAGGGCAACATCAAAAGAACAAACGAACGAACGAACGAACTTTATTTTCAAAGGGTTACAAATTAGGCACGCAGGCCTGTCTTACATTCGGCCCTTCCAAACTTCCATCTTTCGCACAGCAGTTGTATTTCATCAATGAAGCATGTTATATTTATGTAATAATATGCATATTATATATATAAAGTCAAAAACAAAAGCATGGGTGGTAAAATATTTGCGCACGCTCACGCGCGAACACACACACCCACATACACACACAAGCCAAATCACTCACTTACACACAAACACATAGGCACCCAGTACACACATGCATCTACATACATACGAACATGCACACACACATATAGATAGACAGACAGGCAGACAGACAGACAGACAGGCAGACAGACAGACAGACAGACAGACAGACAGACAGACAGACAGACAGACAGGCAGGCAGGCAGGCAGGCAGGCAGGCAGGCAGGCAGACAGACAGACAGACAGACAGACAGATAGATGCACGGGCAGCAATCTGAGACAGTGTACAACCAGGACAAGAGACAGTGCATGTTGGAGATCCATTGCAGCCAACCTTCACAGTGGAGACGGCACCTGATTGATTGACACATATGCATGCACGCACGCACGCACATCCACAGAGGGGGAAAAGGAGGGAGAAAGAGAGAGAGCCATATCTCAGGACAGAGAACAGTTTTACCTTCAGCCAGTTGTCTCCAGTTAGACGGTTTTTTTCAAAACCTAGATCGCCATCTATCTCCTGAGACAGACAGTTGATAATATTTTGACAGCAATAAAATTTCCCGAGACAAATGATTTCTGAAGGCACTTTTAAGTGGAGACAACTGATCTGTGACAGCAGTAACATCTCCAGACACAGACAACAGATTTCTGACAGCAGTAACATCTCCAGACAGAGACAACTTTTTTTTTTTGACAGCAGTAACATCTCCAGACACAGACAACTGATTTCTGACAGCAGTAACATCTCCAGACAGAGGCAAATAATTTCTGACAGCAGTAACATCTCCAGACAGAGGCAAATAATTTCTGACAGCAGTAACATCTCCAGACAGAGGCAAATAATTTCTGACAGCAGTAACATCTCCAGACAGAGGCAAATAATTTCTGACAGCAGTAACATCTTCAGACAGAGACAACGGATTTCAGACAGCAGTAACATCTCCAGACAGAGGCAACTGATTTCAGACAGCAGTAACATCTCCAGACAGAGGCAACTGATTTCAGACAGCAATAACATCTCTAGACAAAGATAAGTGATTTCGGATAGCAGTAACAATATCTCCGTACAGAGACAACTGATTTCTGACAGCAGTAGAATGTTGAATTAAGAATCGACATCATAGCACTCGGGACACTCCCATAAGCACTTTGTCCCCATCTTCAGCAGCAAACAAAGAGTTCCAATTCTGATGGCACAGTAACTGTCTGATTGTATATCCGTCTCACACTTCCCTTGAATGTTAAGCATCAACCAGATCCCTTGGTAACTTCTTGCAGCGCCATTCTCCTCAGACCGTAATGATCTATTTGCGCCTCTGCACTGTTCACTCGTTCCCAGAGGGCCCTCAGAACATCTAGCTTGTTACACATCAATTCACTATCAAATGGTGCAGAACTGGCCAGTCTATCTATCTGCGCGCTCATTTCCCAACAGACCTGCATGACCTGGAGAGAATATCCAAAAGACACTAACTACCCGGGACCTGTGAAATTGACATCTCCAGATAGAGATAAATGGTTTCTGATGGCATTAACACCTCCTGTCAGAGATCAATTATTACTGATGGCACTTTCAAGTAGAGACAGCTGATCACCTTCTGATGGCAGTAACATCTCCATTGTAGGCAGCAAACAAGAGGTTCACAACCAAGTTGCCTTGCTTGTCTACAGTCTGCATCCGTGGGTCCAATTTTCTGGCAGTGTGTCGAAGGTTGTCAAAGTTGTGAAAGTTGAATGTCTTCACCAGATCCTGACACAGATACATATGAAATCAGTTATCACAGTCACAACATCGGAATGTTTGAAGCCAGTAATTCATAAACGTCAGAGGAACATATGAATTATGTAATAATAAAAATGAATTAGGCAATGATATAAGATTATAATTCATGATATAACAGCATAAGCTAGAGCTACTTTTGGAAGGATGAGGCAAATCTGGAAATCCAACAATTACTGCAGAGGAACGAAACTCCGACTCTACAAGAGCATCATTTTGCCAGTTCTTCTTTATGGAGCGGAATGCTGGAGAATGACCAAAAAGGATGCACACAAGCTGTCCACCTTCCACCACAAATGTCTACGTAGAATTATCAAAATTTTCTGGCCAGATACAATCTCAAACACTAAACTACTTCAAGCCACAAACCAAGAAACTTTAGACAGTATGATTACCAAGAGAAGATGGAAATGGCTTGGCCACGTTATGAAAATGACTTCTGATATACCTGCCAAAACAGCTCTCACATGGACACCAGAGGGAAAGAGAAAACAGGGGCGCCCAAAAACAACATGGAGACGAACGATGGAAAGTGACCTGAGTGCGGCATCTTTGACATGGAAAACTGCACTGAAGATTGCACAGGACAGGAAAGCATGGAAAGTCCTCTCTGAAGCCTCATAACGAGAACTGATGATGATGATGATATAAGAGCATGAGATTTATAATGAGAGAAGAACAAGTGAATTCTGTATTGTCAAGATAATATATGAATTCATTCTGGACACAAAAATTATGTAATAATAAAAATGAATTAGATAATGATATAAGATTCTAACTGATGATACAAGAGCATGTGATTTATAATGAGAGAAGAACAAGTGAATTCTGTATTGTCAAGATAATATATGAATTTATTCTGGGCACAAAAATGGAGAAGAACAAGTGACTTTTATACAGACACAGGAATGTGTGATTTCCGTAATACTCGAAAGATGCATGAATGGAGAAGAACAACTAAATTATGTATCGACACAAGAATGTGTGAATTCTGTTTTGACACAAAAATATATGAATTCAGCACAGCCTGGACACACAAATGGTGAAGAATTAAGGGAATTCTGTACTGACACAAAAATATATGAATACATTCCAGAAACATTAATGGAGAAGAATAAGAGAATTCTGTATTGACACAAAAATATATGAATTCAGCACAGCCTGGAATCATAAATGGAGAAAAACAAGTGAATTTGGTATTGACACAAAAATATATGAATTCATTCCAGAAACATTAATGAAGATGAATAAGATTATTCTGTAAGTAAAAAAAAAGTAAAGTACCCCTTTCCACGTCTTTAGGCGTATAGGGCATATAGGGCTAGCCTATATTTTTATAATCCAATCGGCACAAGATGGGTGATGTCAGCATCACGCCGGCGGCCTTTACTTCCCGGGACTGCACCTATACCAAATCAAGGCTGGGTCGACCTGGGAGAAAAGGTCATTTTTGAAAAAAGTCCAGCTCCGCCAGGGAGCGAACCCACGACCTTCCGATCCACGGCGAGCGTCTAGCCGCTCGGCCACGGCGACTCCCAGAGAATTCTGTACTGACACAAAAATATATGAATATATTCCAGAAACATTAATGAAGATGAATTAGAGAATTCTGTACTGACACAAAAATATATGAATTCAGCACAGCCTGGAATCATAAATGGAGAAAAACAAGTGAATTTTGTATTGACACAAAAATATATGAATTCAGCCCAGACACATTAATGATGAAAAAAAATGAGGTAAAGAAACCTGCAGGTGTGTCAAGATCACTTCCCAAACCTACAAAAAGCCAACAAATTAAATTTATAAGGCCTTAGCCGAAGAGGTGGAATCGAGAAATTAACCATATCTGAGTGCAATATTAGATAAGAGAAACAAAGAGAGTTAATACTCATGTGAAAGTTAAAATGTAAAGTCAAGAGGATGGACTTTATTGCCCCAGGTCATTTCCATGTGACTCTGTCTCTTGCCACAGAATGCCTAACCACTTTTCAAAAGCAACACACACAGCACTCTGTAGATTCAGTGATGATCCCCAAAGATCATTGTAAAAATTACACTTGTGAACTAAATGATGCATCCATGAAAAATATGCGATATATAGCATTCAATATATGCTCTATATCACATTTTAACACACTTATTCTAACCTTGCTGCAATTGAAAGGTTTTATTATTTGTTTTTATCTCCCAAAAAGCCTAGATTTGCTAAATAGTTATAATCTTTTCAAGGCTTCTTCAGTTTGCTGGTATGACTTTCCAGGATAGTTGTAGCATTTCTGTTGTCAGCCTCTTAAATTCCATGTGTGTCAGTACTGGTATATTTCAGCATGCTTGCTTTATATAGGTATCCTTGTTCCACATCTTTCTTTATTGACCCAATAATTCTTCCTTTGATATACTCTTTGAAGTTTCTTCAATTCTTCAAATTTAGCCAAACTGTGACAGCTCTTTTTATTTTACTTTGATAATTTGTTTTTCTTCTATATTTACTACACCTTTGTCATTTTGTCAATCAAATAGGTTCTTGTAATTCTTTTATAACAACAAATCTAAAATATCTTCAAACATAGTTCATTGCCCTTCACATGGGTAAAGTGCAGACAGAAGTACTTTTCCAATAAAATTGTAATGCTGAGTCCTGGAAATATTAGCAAACACCAGATCCATTCATGAGCACATATTGTTAGGGGACCACCCCTGTAGCTATGGAGTGTATGCTTTGTGCGATGTTCTCAGTAGTAATAATTTAAACAACAATATCCTCTTCTTCTTCTCCTTGTTAGCTTTCACTAGCTGTAATCTCAGGTGGAAAGTTATGTCAATTCGCTCACGTTTGGACTTCAGTTTTGTCCCAGAACTTGAGTTTTGCGTGCACTTCTGTTTTACACAAATGGCTTATTTTTATGCAGACTGTTGATTCCTCACCTCTGAGGCAGATGCACTCCAACTGTGAAGGAAATACCCCTAATAAGTCACTTTTTACAACATGTTTGTTAGAAAGATTAATAATAAGAAGGGGGAGGTGACACAAAATCAAATGAATACAGAAATAACAATCATTAAAATGTGCCCATTAATTGTCTTCTACTGTGTAATCTGCTCTCTTACTTTTAACATTTGGTTAGAACACACTAAAGACATCTGGCTTCGTTCAGTGATCCCTCCAATCTATCTACTTTAACCCCACCAGGACATCACACAAGCGATAAACACCCGATGACACAAAGTGCCACCATGCGGATGAGGATCACTGTGGAGAGGTCCCAGAAACTGCGTTCAGCCATTAGACCATATTTATGGCCGGGCTATATTGCGGCCCCTGGCAAGAGCCAGAGTAGGGCTTCAAAAAATGAAAAATTGAATCCTACAAAGGAATGACAAGATATGTACTAGTCTGCCGTGTATATTGCCACTTTGAAAGTAAAACATTTCAGATATTTCATTCATTATTATTTCTTCACTCTTGCATCTCCTGTGAAATATTCTGATACTCAAACAGTTATTGTGGGAAGAACATATGAAGCACTGAAGACCATATAATACTGTTAAAACCATTTCTACATAGAGAATACAAAAGATAATTAATTAACGGATACTTACCATACAAAACTGGATCCCACGACAACTGTTACCGTAACGGTCTAAGGGAGGTGACCACATAAATATCCCCATGACATTAGGAACCACAAGCATTATTCCTCCTGACACACCAGATTTGCCCGGTAAACCTACCTGTGGACAGAAACAGAGTTCCTAAAACTTGTGTAGAATTACATGTTAAGCATATATGTCACAGACAAAAAGTAACTTGAATCATTGACATCCAATGTTGGCTCATAGAGTGATCAAGCTATAAATGAATACTTTTGTCCACACTGTGCTTTGTTTGTGCCACAAAACGTCTCAGGGTAGCAGACAATTGGTATCTGAGCTAGGGTATGCTGGGTTGCCTAACATGTTGTGATGTTTTGGAGTCTCAAGGTATCAGTGACTCCTTCAATCCATTTTCTTCTTGGTTGACCCCTACCTTCTGCTGTTTCTATCTCATGTTGCACACTCCTGACGCTGGCATTACTGTATTCATTCTCACTGAAAAGTCAAACATTTTCAGTCTTTGCTTTTCAATGAATTTAATTACAAATGTTGTTCCAACAGTTCCTGTAATTTCAAACATGATCACTTCTAGTTTTGTTCAAGGGTTCTCTCCAACATCTCATTTCTAATTTCGGAACTAGTCAAGAAGCCTAGGCCAGGCTCCGCCCATTTACACACTAGGTCACTTCTCATTGGTGCTTGGTCAGGCTTGTGAACTTTGCTCAAGTTATAGTCGATACTGCTTGCAGTAGGTTGAATGTGGTCAATTTTGTGTGTGTGTGTGTGTTTTGTTTTCCTAAACAGATGGATGGTGATCAAGCTATGAATGACAACAGGAAACTTGACATGTAATTTTGCCTCATTAAGTAAATAATCTATGAATGACGACAGGAGATATTTCTGTTTTATGCAGGACCCAGATGTATTCTATCATTTGTCAGGAGAGAACTAGTTTCACATGTCTTCTAGAATGTATCTAGTCACAACTGGTGCTAGAAGTCCAAATTTTTAGGGGAAAATGGTTCCATTTGGGGGAGGGGGGTGGGGGGGGGGAAACTGAATCCAGCCAAACGAAACTACTGCAGTCAAGTTTTCTGGTCCTCTTTAATGTCTGCCCTGCACACAAGGCTTTAGATAATAGGCTCTCATTGTCCGGGACTTGCACTAATTCAAATATAACTATTTAACTTGGTGAGGGATAAAAGGAGTATTTGATCCTAGCCTACTTGATGTGTCCCTGTCTAGACTGATGGACATGGGGGTGCAGCCTGGAGATGCAAGAAATAAACATTTCACTAGGGGGGGCAAGATGTTTCATTAACCAACACAGAACAGGCGTCATCAGTCGTTTTACAGTTGTGGAGCTTTTGAGGAGGAGATTGGAGCACTTGTGGTTCTGTCCAATGTGTCTTTTTCAATGATCTTATTTGGTTCAGGATTTCCTAGCTATCTGGTCGAGACATATATGATGCACGTCAATTATGAAAATGCAACATTTTAAACCTTATACACAAGAAAAATATCAAATAAGGTTTCAGCACAGAAGTATGAAAGCATGAACAAAGATCTTAAGGAAAATGTGAACTCCTCGCCTTCATTCTAGTATAACTATCTACATGTGTGAGAAGAAATTACTAATCCTTCACACCAAAATATTGACTTTTTATTATCCCAGCCAACTGTATTACTTCATTTTATCCAAAATGTAAAAGTCTACGGTTAAGCATGAGCAAGGAAATCAAAGCCCAAATTTTGAGAGCATGTATCTTCCTTGTAGAAACTAACTAATATGAAAGGTGGACAATCTTAGTTTTTAAGCTAGAAAATAGCGGCTTTTGAGCTGAAATGCTATAGAAAGATTTTCAGAATACCACAGAAAAAGAAGAAAAGAAATACTGACATCCCAAAACATCTTAACGTCAAGCAGAAAAGTTGAGTTGAGTCAAGAATCGACATCACAGCACTTGGGGCATTCCCATGCATGCTCTGTCCTCATCCTCAGCAGCCAGGGCAGAGTTACAATACTAATGGTACCGGTCATAATCTGGTTATGTCGGTCTTGCCTTTTCTCTAAGTGTAATGAGCCGGGCAGACCCCCTGGTTACACTCACATGCTTCATTCTCTCACACGCTCACTACCCTTAATCTTCCCAGTGAAGTTTGCCATTCTATTCGAAGCATTCCCGTCTTCACCTTTCTCAGCATGCTTTCAGAGTATCTTACAATTATGAAATGTTTATGCATCTTGTTCTCTAGCAACCGGAAAGATGCAGTTACCGCCTTTACCTCCATTCTCATGCTACACGTGTTGGTATCCTATGCTAGGCTGTCCTGCACTAAAGATTTTCCACTGGCTTTTGCTCTTAACCCCCAGGCACTTTTCTTCCCACTCAAAACCGAACTATCTGTATATATAATCAGATCATCTGGGCCAGAATTGTTGTGAATCAACTGTTCGACTTCCACCTTCGTAGCACCCGCTGGCCACTCTCTGCACTCCTGTCCCAATGTGATCATAACCCCACACAGATCAGACTTTTCCTCTGGTACTCTGACCCACTCCTCTCCTCGCCCAATGATCTTCAGCATGCATACTTGTCTTATTGTGTTTTCTGCTTGTCTTCAGCCATACACGACTTTCCCCTTTGCAGCTTCTGACCTTTACCTGCAGCCAAAACTTCATCCAGTCAAGGAGAATTGGCTGGTAAACAACACCTTGTCTCAGAAATATTTTGGTCACAAAAAAAACATCACAATGGATTGGGAAAAATAGCAGAAGGTGTACCAGGAAAGAGAGGCAGGGGCTGACCTGCACTAAAGTTGGCACATGATGTATGTTAAAAGTGTATTAGGTGAGAGAGCTAGTAAGAGAAAGTTTCTTACAGGCAAACGTGATGAGAGCGACATTCTGCAAAGGACCTGCTAAATTATGATGATACAAATAAATTGTAAGCTTAGCTCCTTCTGATTAAGTTATAATTTTTAAATTCATTCTTACCCAAATTTTTTTTTAAAGTAGTTTATTTTTTTTTTCATTTTAGAAATTTTTGAAAAACAAAAAGAATCATTTACCAGCACCGAAATATTTCAAAAATCACACCACGATGGTAGACACAGGCGGAGCCTGGTATATGTGAAGATAAACATAAAACGTTGATAGTTTGTAAGCTGGTGTACAACACTGAAATGTTTGTCTAATTTACACGAAGACTAACTTTGAAAGCAAACTGTCCTGAGTAATCATACATGCCACAGGATAGCATCAGACTCAACGTGTCCCGAATACAGTAAGGCTGAAGAACTTTGACTCCTGTAGTTGGGCATATACCTCCGTTAGCTAGCGTGGCTGCAATGACGGCCCCAGAATCACAGGTAATCTCTACAGAGCACAGCTGAAAATGTACATTTCACAGTCAGGACAAGTAAGTATAGGACCCTTTTCCCACAGTGATGCATTAGGCATATAGTGCTAGACCCTATTTATTTACCAGAATGTACAGATTTCACATGTCATATAATTATCTAAAAGTACAGGTCCAAGATTTTATTCATTTACCATAATTTACTGGTCTAACAGATTACATACTTATTTACCTCAATGTACTAGTTTAAAATGTCATTAATTTCCCTAGAAGTGCAGGTCTAACATGTCATTTATTAACCTAAGAGTGCAGGTCTCATGTCATTTATTTACCTAAGAGTGCAGGTCTAACATGTCATTTATTAACCTAAGAGTGCAGGTCTCATGTCAAATATTTACCTAAGAGTGCAGGTCTAATGTCATATATTTACCTAAGAGTGCAGGTCTAACATGTCATTTATTTACCTAAGAGTACAGGTCTAACATACCATATATTTACCTAAAAGTACAGGTCTAACATGTCATATATTTACCTAAAAGTGCAGGTCTAACATGTCATATATTTACCTAAAAGTGCAGGTCTAACATACCATATATTTACCTAAAAGTTTACCTAAAAGTGCAGGTCTAACATACCATATATATTTCTACCTAAAATCTACAGGTCTAACATGTCATATATTTACCTAAAAGTGCAGGTCTAACATGTCATATATTTACCTAAAAGTGCAGGTCTAACATGTCATATATCTAAAAGTGCAGGTCTAACATGTCATATATCTAAGAGTGCAGGTCTAACATGTCATATATCTAAGAGTGCAGGTCTAACATGTCATATATCTAAAAGTGCAGGTCTAACATGTCATATATCTAAAAGTGCAGGTCTAACATGTCATATATCTAAAAGTGCAGGTCTAACATGTCATATAAAAAAAGTGCAGGTCTAACATGTCATATATTTACCTAAAAGTGCAGGTCTAACATGTCATATATTTACCTAAAAGTGCAGGTCTAACATGTCATATATTTACCTAAAAGTGCAGGTCTAACATGTCATATATCTAAGAGTGCAGGTCTAACATGTCATATATCCTAAAAGTGCAGGTCTAACATGTCAAATATTAACTAAAGTGCAGGTCTAACATGTCATATATTTACCTAAAAGTGCAGGTCTAACATACCATATATTTACCTAAAAGTACAGGTCTAACATACCATATATTTACCTAAAAGTACAGGTCTAACATGTCATATATTTACCTAAAAGTGCAGGTCTAACATGTCATATATTTACCTAAAAGTGCAGGTCTAACATGTCATATATCTAAAAGTGCAGGTCTAACATGTCATATATCTAAGAGTGCAGGTCTAACATGTCATATATTAAGAGTGCATCTAACAATATATCAGAGTGCAGGTCTAACATGTCATATATCTAAAAGTGCAGGTCTAACATGTCATATATCTAAGAGTGCAGGTCTGAATGTATATATCTAAAAGTGCAGGTCTAACATGTCATATATCTAAGAGTGCAGGTCTAACATGTCATATATCTAAGAGTGCAGGTCTAACATGTCATATATCTAAAAGTGCAGGTCTAACATGTCATATATCTAAAAGTGCAGGTCTAACATGTCATATATCTAAAAGTGCAGGTCTAACATGTCATATAAAAAAAGTGCAGGTCTAACATGTCATATATTTACCTAAAAGTGCAGGTCTAACATGTCATATATTTACCTAAAAGTGCAGGTCTAACATGTCATATTTACCTAAAAGTGCAGGTCTAACATGTCATATATCTAAAAGTGCAGGTCTAACATGTCATATATCTAAAAGTGCAGGTCTAACATGTCATATATTTATCTAAAAGTACATGTCTAACAATGTCATATATTTATCTAAAAGTACAGGTCTAACAATGTCATATATTTATCTAAAAGTACAGGTCTAACAATGTCATATATTTATCTAAAAGTGCAGGTCTACCATGTCATATATTTATCTAAAAGTGCAGGTCTACCATGTCATATATTTATCTAAAAGTACAGGTCTAACAATGTCATATACTTATCTAAAAGTACAGGTCTAACAATGTCATATACTTATCTAAAAGTACAGGTCTAACAATGTCATATACTTATCTAAAAGTACAGGTCTAACAATGTCATATATTTATCTAAAAGTACAGGTCTAACAATGTCATATATTTATCTAAAAAGGTTGGTCTGTATGTCAAATATTTCATTATTTACCTGAATGTACAAATAAAAAAAGTCATAAATTTACCTGAAAATTTAGGTCTAAAACAGTGGTTGGCAAATTTATTTGTCAAAAAATGCAACAACAACAAAAATACAGTAGCAGCAAGATTAGATTTTTTGAGAGCTAAAGTTATTTTCAAGAACCTGTCAAGAACCATGTTTTTCAGAGTCAAAATGATTTGGGGCCGACTGGCCGAGCCGCTCTCAGGTCAGTAAAGTGCCATATGCGGCTGGCGAGTCTGATTTGCCAATCACTGCGTTAACATATCATATATTTGCCTGAAAACACATGACCAAACAAGTTATTTATATATACCTGAAAGTAAAAGTCCAAAACTTCGTGTAGATTTGTGCCCTTAGGGAAACACTGAAATGAGTAAATATGAGTATTACATTTTACAGTGTTTCTTTGTTGTTTCACATAAAATACTCTTTTTAGACTAGACACAGTTGTTATACAGTGGCATACTGTTGGACCAAACACTTGGTTGTACAGTCCGACTACATATAATGGTTGTACTGTCTGACTAGATACAGTGGTTGCACAGTGGGCGTACTGTTGGAAAAAACATTTGATTGTATTGTCCGACTAGATAACAGTGGTTACATTGTCTGGCTGGATACAGTGGTTGTATTGTCCAACTAGATACAGTGGTTGTATTGTTGGACCAAATATTTGGTCGTACTGTCTGACTAGATACAGTGGTTGTACTGTCTGACTAGATACAGTGGTTGTACTGTCTGACTAGATACAGTGGTTGTACTGTCTGACTAGATACAGTGGTTGTACTGTCTGACTAGATACAGTGGTTGTACTGTCTGACTAGATACAGTGGTTGTACTGTCTGACTAGATACAGTGGTTGTACTGTCTGACTAGATACAGTGGTTGTACTGTCTGACTAGATACAGTGGTTGTACTGTCTGACTAGATACAGTGGTTGCACAGTGGATGTACTGTTGGAAAAAACATTTGGTTGTACTGCTAGGATAGCTACAATGGTTGTACATCACAACCATCAAGTGTTTTGTCAACAGGTGTGGATAACCTTGCTTCTCAGTACTGTCTGCTAATACCCTTCCACATAAAACACATTTTTGTTTTGATCACCCCTGTGTGCCCCTGGTGTGAAAAGGGACCTTTACTTATCTGATGTGCTATTGGTGTGAAAGGGTACCTTTAATTATCTGATGTGCCACTGGTGTGAAAAAAGGACCTTTAATTATCTGATGTGCCACTGGTGTGAAAAAGGGACCTTTAATTATCTGATGTGCCACTGGTGTGAAAAAGGGACCTTTACTTATCTGATGTGCCACTGGTGTGAAAAAGGGACCCTTACTTATCTAATGTGCCACTGGTGTGAAAAGGGACCTTTACTTATCTGATGTACTGCTAGTATGAAAAGGGACCCTTACTCATCTGACGTGCCACTGGTCTGAAAAGGGACCCTTACTTATCTGATGTGCCACTGGTGTGAAAAGGGACCTTTACTTATCTGATGTACTGCTAGTATGAAAAGGGTACCCTTACTCATCTGATGTGCCACTGGTGTGAAAAGGGATATTTACTAACTACTTATGACCTGATCATCTTCTAGAATGATCACAGTCAAAATGCCTATGCCGGAAAGGCTAACCCGGTCAACAAATGCCCGCAGAAGTCGGATGTGTCGGCTGAAAGGTGCAAATATCGCAGCCATGCTGTAAACGGACACAACGCAATTACATCTTCGGATGAACGCAGAAGAAGAAGAAGAAGAAGAAGAAGAAGAAGAAGAAGAAAATGCCTATGAATGAAACCATTATTATTTCTAGTGTGAATATTACTCTGTCACTCTATCAGCCAGGTAACCATTTTGTGACATCTCTAAGTTAAAACTGTCTACAGAGTTAGCCACACACAAAAAAGTATGCAAAGTAAGTAATCGCCCACCATTGAAATGTATCTACACGTATGATATTAGCAGTCTTTGAAAACATTACGGTAGCAATATGTTTCATGGAGATTTTAAAAAACAATCTGTATAAACATTTTGATACTATATATATTTAGACACAAAGAGATGCATACAAGTTACATGTGATTTGAGAAGTTATTACTGGTGCTCAAAGTGATGCAAATTTGCCTCAAGACACTTTTCATAACCAAAATACAACACATAGTTACCTTAATTCAATCTAAATATTGTGAAATATGTCATTTAATGATACAAATTTGTAAACAAATTGCCTCTATGAAAATGTTTATGCATTTCACTGTTGGTTGATTACCGTGTATACATTTTTGGGGGGCTAACTGTGTATTACTATGTCTGTCCACCTAAACACCTGGTCAATGACTGACTAGATCTTGCTTATATCAGAAGCAGGTTTCCACAGCTTCATGTACTTTACATAGTTTCTGTGTACTCTGTAATACTCACTCATACTGTGTTTGGCTGTCAGTCTAGTCTTACTTGACCTGCCCCCACCTTTCTGATCAAAACAGTAATAGTAAGGAAACAATCTATACCTGGTACTCTTAACATACAGAGCTAACAATCATGAACATACACCCACCTGTTTCTCTTTCATATAGTAGCCTAATGCAAAGTTTCTGTCTGCTGTCTGACGCTCTGATAAAAATCTGCAAGATAAAATGCATGACAACATGAAACTCGGGCAATAGTCTGGAAAATAGTAAGATGGAACAAAATGCCATGGGGTAAAGAAAGTGGACTCTAAATATGTACAAAAATGTAACACTGTGACCGAATATTTTGATTAAATAATATCACAAATGAAGAACTAAGGAGGAACACAAATATTCATTACTGGCTAACAAAAGAAAGAAGATGGAAATGGCTTGGACATGTTTACAAAACACTGAGTGACACTTGGCAAGGACAGTTCTCAGATGGATCACTGAAGTTTCACATTTATTTAGTACATATACAACACAATTCACCAACTGGATTCAGAAAATGGAATTACTGCTTGGAAATAACCAAAGAGACTGATAAGGATGTCTACAGAGTTGTATATCCAAGGGACACTACAATCATCTTAGCTATCCTGGTCAACACTGCAATTATCTTAAGCTACCTAGACCCTCTAAGGATCCTTACCAACTGGATTGTTGTCAGTACAAGCCAATTGGCCAGATATTTGTATTTCACAGTGGTAGATTTGATTCACGTAAACAACAGTTAAAAAAAAAAATTACACAGTATATCATCCCAACTGGAGATGCTGAATGTTGAATTACCAATCACCATCACAGCACTCAGGACACTCCCATTAACAAAGAGTTCCAATTCTGATGGCACCAGTAACTTTTTGATTGTATATTCGTCTCGCTTTTCCCTTGAGTGTTGAGCATCGGCCAGATCCCCTGGGAACTCCTTGTAGCGCCATTCTCCTCAGACCTAATGATCTATTTGCACTTCTGCACTGTTTATTCGCTCCCAGAGGGGGATAGAGATTTCTAACAACTGGAGAAGAAAGCTGGGGAATATTGGTCATCAAGCGTCTCTCTCTCTCACTCACTCACACAAGCACACACACACACACACGAAACCGAAACTGTTTACTTGCTACAAGAATTCCAGCATGTAATGAGCTGCTAAACATGGTCAAGGAACTATGAACATCACCATCACTACATCTCCTAAACTGCACAACTTGGTACTCACACTGAGTTATTGAAAGACACATATTCATTCCCTGACAGCTGCAGGATCTTCTGTTGGTTCTGAAATTTTATATATATATATAAATAAGAGTTGCCCAGTTCATAACAGCAGACAATAACAAAATGAGGTCAGACTAGTTGTCTTTGGACAAGAAGGACAAGGGTAACTGAACGCTGCGAGTGGTGAGAGTTCACAAGCTGACAGACAACAATACGACAGTAGACAGTTTTGGGCTGTTCTGACAGATTGGGAGCATTCACAGTATCAGGTAGAAATCATTTAGCAGCAGCAACCAGTTTATAGTCTTTATGTTAACCACCTAAATTCCAGCTGAAAGTGAAAAGTTTAGGTGGTTCATACACCTCTGGACTTTTATTCCAGAACCTGAGTGTTGAGTGCACATCAGTTATACAGATCTGACTTATTCAATGCAGATTTCTGGTTGATTGCCGCTCAGGCAGATGCATTCCAACTTGAATTATACCTGGACCCAATATAGCCAGAGTTCTAGTCGATGACTTTATGTTGTTGCCAGTGCGACTTTGAAAGATCCTTACATTAACTTTGTATTTGGCATTGTGGCTGATGACTTTACTAGGCTGTAATAATGTGAACATTATAACAGATGCATTTTCTACCTCATAGCCTGTATTGTAGCAGATAAAGTTTCTATGTTGCAGCAGATCTGTGAGAATCCATTCATGAGGCCAATGTGCATTTCTTCAGAAAATGAATGTTCAATTGTAGTCAACACTGGCATGTCAACGAGTGTGTGAGATTAAGATTTCATTATCCTGTCGTGGGATTATGTGTCACATGGTGCTCATAGTCTATTTTTCCATTCTCTTCTATCCTGTGTGATCATTTCGATTTCAGGGATAGAATCCAGCAGCTTTGGCCTCTCTCGTCAACGTTCACCTTAGGGTTTCTTTTAGACTCCTCATTTCCTCATTCCTTCTGTTTCCCATATCAGTGCCTGTTTGGTGATTCTCTGTTCATCTTTCCTCAGAATGTATCCAATACAGAACCACCTTCTCTGTCTTGTAACTGCTGATACTAGTGGTTGCAGACATTTCTCTTATTTCTTCACTCCTCTTGAATTCATCTAATTTTATGTTCATCATTGTCATCAGGCATTTGTTATCAAATACATTTAATTTTCGTTCCATTTCTTCAGTGGTTCTCCAACCTGAGATTAAGAATGAGAAAACCACTTTAGTCCTATAACACTTGTTTAAAGGTGTCCGACGCCATTCTGTTTATGCATCATTTGATATTCCGGGGGTGATGTCAATACCACACCAACCATCGTTATTTCCCTGAATATTTTGTTTTGCTTATTTGAGGGAGTGGAATAAAAACAAATATAAAAATGTACCATCACAAACGAAGTCAGTGGCAAGGTGTAATCAATTTACATGTGTAAGTGTTAGCAGGGAATAAATACACCCAAGAGGGTATTACGTGATATTTTTCTTGGTGCTTTGCTGTTGAGAGTATGTGTGCACAGGTAGCAAGCATCATAGTACAGTACTAGTAACTGGTAACCTTCATACATTAGTTTCTGCATAAGCAACATCAGCATGCAGCAAGCGTCTTTTCGCTATGGTCAAGGCAAAAACCAAGCCTCACATTTGTAGCAAACAGTAAATAGTAATTATAAAGAGGGAAACAAGTTCTGTGTTTTTTCCAATGGAAAGTGTAAGTAGTGATTACAGCTGTTACATGCATGCCACTCCTCATCACTGATGAAAATTTCAACACATGAGCACCAAGCTGGGAGGCTAGCTTGCTAACCACTAACATTCGATGGACCCTTTTACTAGGAAGGGTCAAATAAATCACATGGAAATAAATAACCAAAGTCTGAAATGCTAAAGTGGTAAAATAGACAAGAAAACTACTTACGTATTCAAATTTGTCTGCAATATTCATGCCTTGTTTCAATAAAGAACAGGTGACCACAGCTCCAGCATTGATCATGGGATTGTGTGGTCGATCTGGAGAGTACAGTCATAGACAACACTGTTAGCAGCCAATTATTTTATTTGTTTGCTTTACTTGTTAAACTGAAGCCTTTTTGACAGGTTTTCCAAAACAGAGTCTTAAGACAAATCTTTGGACCCATCAAAGATACAAACAGTAGGCAATGTAGAGTAAGAAGCAACAATGAATCTCATAATCTTTTTAAATCACCAATGTCACTGGTATCATTAGAGCTAATATACTGAAATGGTTGGGGCATATTGAAAGAATGTCAGATGACAGAGAAGTAAAAACTGTATACACAAGGAAGATGAATGGTCGTATACTATGAGGCAGACCAAGAAGACAATGGAAAGATAATGTCCAGACAGACCTGCAAACACTTGGTATCACCAACTGGAAAGAGAAGGCCAACCAGAGGGGCGGGCGATATATGCAGCAATGAACCTCAAGGGTTCGGAATGCTGAAAAGGAAGAAGAAGATACTAATTAAATCCCCTACAGTAAGATCTATACTTCATGACCTCTTGAAATCTATTTCCACATCTCTACCAAAGAAATCTGCTGCAGGGGTGATGGAATCATATGGCTATTAGCTTCACCGTCTTTTGAGCCCTTGAGGTTTACTGCTGGAGATATCACCCACTTAACTTCATCTCAGTGATTGATCTTCTCTTTTCAGTTGCCAACTCCAAGTGTTTGTAGGGCTATGTGGTTATAATATTGATAAGAATTACATTGAGAAGGATAATCAAGTAAACTGCCACTAGACATTACAGTATGCAATGCCTTTTTTTTAAAGGCAAAAGCACACACACTACCACATATTTCTTGAGAGCATTTACAAAAAGACTAACTGAAATGAACAGATATGTGTTTTCATATACTGACTGCACTTAAGCAACTGATAAGATGAAACACACACACACAAAATTGTTTAAAGTGTTGGAAAACACACGCTGCTGGCACAAATCACAGAACAATAAAAACATGTGTAGGTAGCAAGAAGCAGCCATACAAACTGAAAATTATATGAGAACTCTCCCAAATATTCTTTAAAACAGGTGTTAGATGGCTGTGTACAATACCCCAATCTACTCAATTTACATAGTAAAATAATAATGAGATCTATACACAGTACATCAGAAACATCATAATGTAAACAATCTGCAAAATGCTGATGGTATAGTATAGATGGTATAGATCTTTGAAATATTTTTTTCTGAAATGAATGTAGTGATCTGAATGAAAGAAAGCTATGTAAACACTCTGTCCGGCCTGACTTATAGTAAGCTACATATTAGTCCAGCCTGACTTATAGAAAGCTATCTAAACAAAGAGTCCAGCCTGACTTATAGAAAGCTATCTAAACAAAGAGTCCAGCCTGACTTATAGAAAGCTATCTAAACAAAGAGTCCAGTCTGAATTATAGAAAGCTATCTAAACACTGAATCCATCCTGACTTATAGAAAGTTATTTAAACAATGAATCCAGGCTGACTTATAGAAAGCTACCTACTCATCGGTGCCAGTCTGACCTATATATAAAACTATCTAAACACTAAATCCAGGCTGAGACTGAATCAAGGCTGACTTATACAAAGCTACCTACTCATTAAGTCCAGACTAATGTTGTTGAATGCTTGACCACTAGGTTCCTGTCCCACATACTGGTGCACAACATCAGGCCCCAGCTCATCCAGCACCATGGCATAGGTCAATGGTTTGATGATAGACTGCATGCAGAATGGGTCATGAGCGTCTCCAATGGCATATCTGCACCATGAACAAATAATTAGTTACCATAAGATGCACACCCAGGAGATGTTGCATGATGATATAACATATGTATGAGATCATGTACACACATATGAGATTATGAACACAAGCAGGGTATACACGTGCAGTAGATTAGTATTCTTCAACTGATGGTCGGCAAAAATGTTTGGGTAGTCCACCAAAGGTCTCTCTGCCTAATCTTGTAGCAGCTACATGATTCCAGCACTATATAGCTGTACAGATTTATATAATAAGATATATAATCATACCCACCATGTCTACATACTATACAGTTGCAACTAGTACCAAAGCTGTTACACAGGGTTAATGGCCACTGCCCAAAGGTATTATCTCATCAAAAAGCCTTTACAAGTTATAGAATCTGCTTTTTCAGGGCAACACAGTTAATAATGACTAAATTAAACAGATACAAACAGACAAAGCAAAATATAAAGTTATGAATTAAGAAAGCGATACCTTTGGCCATCAACTGTACATATAGCCAGACCCCAACTCTCAGGGTTGAATCGTGCCAACTGTGGGATGTAGCTTGCCAGCTGCAAGTACAAACAAAATAGGATAGTTCTCAGACTGGTCAAACAAGGCCCCTATGTTCATGATTCAGAGTGTAACTAAAGATCTAGGAAAGAAGTTCACTCACTTCACCTTCAGTGTTTGCCTTGGCTTTCCAGAAGAGCTCGTTAATTCTCTGTGTGAACTGCACAAACTCAGGAATGATGAACTGGTTTCTGAAAGCTTTCACTACCAGTATGATGTTCTCTGTGATACACCTAGCAAAACAAGAGAAAATGTTCAAACAATCTGACAACACCTGTTGTAGTGAAAGCTCACATAAAAAAACATCTACCAGGATAAACAGTTGATATGTAAACTTTTTTTTTTAAACACACAGAAAAAAAAAACATTAATGCAAATGAGAGGTAGCTTTAGCCAGCTTCCTATTCAAACTATAACAAATGACAAAATGGCCACTGCAGTCAGAAGCTTTCATTAGCAGAAAACTAAAATGACCTATTATATACAATTGGATGCTAGTAAATAGCATCATGTCTTGAAAAAGGAAATTTCTTGTCCATATTCCATATAAAGCGCCGTGGTTGATGTGAAAATAACAGCAGAAGGCATGGTACCAGAAAAGACGGGCAGGGGCTGACCAGCATAAAGATAGGAAAGTGCACAAGGTGGGAGAGCTGACCAGAGACCAAGTTTCTTTCAGACAGACTGTATGACAGTGATGTTCTGCAAAGGACTGTTGTTACATGATGATAGAATTAAACAATCACAAAGCCAACTTTTGCACTGCTGGTCAAGTCTATGGCCAAGTTCATCCAATTTCAGCACATACTTGTAAGGGTTTACTTTTCATAGCATTTGACTGTCCCAAGTCTACCTATAAGGATTGTGTCTCAAATCATCTGATTCTTATCCCTTCATGTGTCTGATTTAGCAAGACCTGCTCTAGCTGGCACTGGAATATTTGAACATGAAAGCTCTTCTACAACTTTAAGGTGAAAACACATCCAGTGCAATGGATTTAGATGGTCACCATTCACAAATGGCTAGGGATAGGGAAAAAAAAGAGAGAGAGAAAGAAAGAAGAAGAACTTTTGATCGAACTAATTTCCAGTTATATGGTGCCAACATACAATGCTGATGTATGCTGATAAAGGTTTTCTGGCTGCAATGTCCACATGTCCACAAAAGCATTTTCATAGTCTATGAATCCAATGTTAAGTGGTGAATTCGATGTTTTATTCTGTTATTATATGTGATGTGGCTATCTACCAGGAGGTTTTGAAAGAGGCGGGAGCCCGAGGACAAATTATCACAAACATCAGAAGGCGACAGTCATCATTTTCCGGCCATGTTATGAGAAGAGGGAAAATACATGTTGTGACCACTGGAAAGATCTATGGAAGGAGGGATAGAGGAAGACAACGAGAGAAGATTCTTGACAGTCTTGTTGCATGGCATGGAGGTGTGTCGGCACACGAACTGATACATGCTGCAGGAGATCGTGGATTATGGAGAGGCATAATCTAGTTGTTCATCCACCTCCAGACTTTGGTCTTGTTCCAGAACCTAAGTGTTGCCTGCACATCCATTTTTCCAATTCTGGCTTATTTGTATGCACACTCTTGGTTCCTTGCCTCTAAGGTAAATGCATTCCAGCTTTTCGAAGGATGTCCCAATTATTTGATTCCTACAACATGCTTGTTAGGGAGGCAGTGGGTTTATTGTTTTCCCCACAATAGGGCCCGGAACCCACACAAGGACAATAGAATAAACAACAGTAACATATTACAGACATTTGAAAGCAGACAGAGAAATAAAACTGCAGAAGAAAACACAAGCATATGAGTAATTTACTCTCTGAAAGTCTCCCTGTCCAAGTACACTTTCTGAGCCGCGTCCAAGTCTTTGAGATCAGACTGAACATTTTTTAAGTTGGCCATCATCTCCTTCAAACGGGGATCAGTTTCTCGTAGTCCTGTTGCACGCAAGGCCTGTGTGTACAAAGATAATTATATATCTATGTATGTCTTCATATTAATACATCAATAAACATTTGACTTCAGGAAATCACAAGCTAGCAGGTGGTAGGCAGCATCACACAGATAATGACAACATGCTGGGCTGTTAGTTACATATCCTTTACAGGATGTTGCAGAACCAACTCCTGCATGTTCTGGTTGTTGTGGGTGTTTTTTTCCCAGGCAAATTTTACATTCAGTGGTTTGCCAATGCTTTCTAAATGGTCAGGTCTTAGTACAACAGTCGAAATGAATGCAAGGCATTCTACTGTCAAATCATCCGCAGCTAGGATCGAAACCAGGCACCCCCAGCATTACAGCTGAGCTGTACCAATGACTAAAGCCAGATCTGGAGCATTGCTTTTTAATTAAGCAGCAGAAGTAGAACATTTACTCAGTGACAGATTGGCTTCTTAATTATTTCTGAACAATAAGAGCATCGATCTCATTGTATTGGGAATCACATTATTTTTTACCTTGCATACAAAAATGTCTAGGGGACTTAACTGTCAACAAAGTTTGACATAGTATTATTGAGTCATGGCCCTTGACATTCTCTGGCTATTTATTCTTAGTGGCCATATGTGTCATTTCATTTCACTGGCTGGACAACATGGCTGCTATCAGCAATACCTTAGTTAAGTGATTTTGTTTATTTGTGTCTGTACATGTTTTTATATTTATGTAATGTGCTCTGTAGTCACAATGTTCACTTTCTGTTTGTATTTGTTATACTGTAAAACTCGCTGGTCAACTTTTCATTTGGTTTTATATCTTGTCATGATCTCTTTATAGGCATGTTATCAAAGAGACAAAGGTAGAAACTTGGTTTAAGAACAATAGTGATGTGCCAGTCTTGATGTATATCATTGTCTCAGACTGACTGTGACTCTGAATGTCTTTGTCTCTGACTGTCTTTGTCTCTCACACACTCTCTCTCTCTCTCAGTCTTTCTCTGACTCTTATCACTCAGCCTTAATATTTTCACTCTGCCTTTCCCTGGTGTGCACACTGAAGGATGTATATATGTGTGCACACACACACACAAGATAACAAAGTGTATGGTATTCAATGCTTACATCAAACACTAATACTCTGGTGGCATCTGTCATTCAATACGGCTGAGAAAATTACTGAAGATAAAGCTAGGCTCAATTTTTGTCCCTAATGTTGAACTTATTGCCAAAGTCAGAGAATGAATACAAAAAGGCTGATGGCTGTGAGGATGATGATCCATCAAAACTTAGTGGAAGAATGTGCGCAAGAAAAACTTGCTTTTGGATTACATCCTCTGCTACAATGGAATGTGAACATCCTTTTTATTTTTTTAAATTTCTGTGACAAGTTTTAACAATGCCTTTTGCTTCCTCGATATGAGTATTTTTTTGGGTGGGTCATTGCACAAATAATGTGGCACAAACAGGAAAGAAACTTCTCTTCTTTCTTTAATTACACTGTCTCAACTGCAAGAATACCCCATTCAAAAGAAAAATTAATATTCGCTCTTTACTCCATATTGCATATATGATCATGTATCTCTTGTTAGCTAATACACACATTGGCAGGTCACTTGTCGTCTGCTAACTGAGCCGCATTAAATCTTGCCAGATCATAAATGTTGTTTATTTAGACTGTCACTGATGGCATTTTTGTCTTGACCATAATAAAACAATCTCATTTAATTGGTAGATGGAGCAGATTCCCTAGCCAGCATATATATTTTTTCTTTACCTCTACAGAAATTATTCAGTTATATCATTTACCATTAGCAGACAAGCTGAATAAAAAAAAACACAAAAAAAAACAGGTAGATCAGAAAACTTCTAGATCTCTATTTTTGAGGCTCTGCTAATCAAAATACATGTAAGATAAAAGTAACGTTCTGAGTTTCACCTCCTCCAAACTGTCCCAAATACAACATATCAAGGCAAAACTTCTGGTCAAGAGAAACACCGATGGAAGCCAAACTTTACGTGTCGCTGAGTGAATTAAAAAAAGACAGTGAAATTCATACTAGAGACAACATTGAAGATATAAATAATCAGTACTAATCATTGAATTCATCCCATCTCGCACGGGTGCGTGATTTTGTATTTATTAAAGTAGGCTTCCTATGTTATAAGGATGTCAGATGTTGCTTGTTTTGAATGTTTGAAGTACATTCACTACCGACAACAGCCACCGCCAAACATCAGTGATTTGATACTCACAAACCATTGTGCCTTCGCCACTTTCCCCTTCGGTAATTCTTTTTTTGTACACAGACGCCTGAGCTACTCTGAACAACAACACATTCGAGAAACGTGTTGTTTACAGAAATGACAGTTGCAACAAGAAAGCAGCGCAGTTTTGTCTGGGAGACAGTGTGTCGACCGTGTCCAACAAATACGTGCCAGTTTGTTGTCATGGTGTGTATAGACAGAGAAGGACGGCCCAGGAAGAACTCAGGACAGCCTGTGGGAACGGCCACAAAATCTTGCGCCCAAATGAGATGGGGGAGAATTCCATGATTAGTACCAAATATTCTATTTCAAGTGAACGAAAGAACTTTCACAGCATCTGTGCTCAACTGTGGAATGCAGTTAGACAACAGATCTGAGCTGAAATAGAAAACTCTGTGCTCTCAGTCCACTAATTAGTAGTATGTCAAGAAAACTATACAAAATTAAGTCAAGGAAAATGTACCTAAACGTACCTGCAAAAATTTTGAAATGGATAGTTTTCCTTGGTCATCACTAAGGTACTTGTACAAGTCATTGACATCAAATGTGACATCCCTAGAGGCAAAGAAATATGGAAATTGTTTTAACTGTGAGTTACAGGGTGGAGATGAAACACGTAAAAGAAACAAAATACAGAAAATCTCTTACACTAACACAATTGCATGACCTGGGGTAAAGCATTGTGAAGCACATCTAAACCACCTTCAAGGCCAAGTCAGGATACATTATAACCAACTTCTCGTAGGAACAGACAGACACATTATAACCAACTTCTCATAGGAATAATCAGTAGAAGAACCTTGGAGTGGCTGCTAGATTGCAGTACTGAGCAGGCAAGGAGATATTTAATGTGCAGTGACATAGATTGTGATAACAAAACAAAAACATTAGAAATCAATTACATTGATATGATAGTCACTGATGGAAGAACCTTGTGGAAACCAACTAGCCATTATATAGGTAAAAGCAGTTTCTCAGTTTATATTGTCAGAGAGTTTAAAATTAACAATATTTGGGTCCGTTTACTATCAATCACATTATTTTAAAACTATGATGTCCACCCCTCCCCCTTCCTTTTTCTAGCTGTCTCCTCGGCTGCTCATTTTCTCTGCTTTTTTCAATGAGTAGATGAGTGAGGGCTAAAACAACAAAGACATATGTATTGTTATACATAGTAAGTATACATGGTAACTGCGACAAGGATGAACAGTCAGGTGTGTGAGTACCATGAAGAGCACTACAACAAAGGGAACAACAATTAGTATCAACACCTTACAATATTTGTTGCTATTGCCAGAGAAACAGCTGGCAGGATGGTTAAGAATGCTAGGGTTTCATGCGGGAGACCCAATTTTGAATTCTCAGCAAGGCCCCATGATTTCTTTCTGTCGGGGGCACACACACACAATTCTAACCTGCAGTCAGTGGTGACAGAATTATCCATGCAGCCTTAATACTCTGCTTAAAGTCTACACCACAAAAGTACAGGCAGTAATTGGCAGTTTTGTTGTTGTTTATTTGTATGTACAGGTGTCACATTATCTATGAGTATGCCTGGTTTACTATGATGTTTGATTCTTCAACTCAAACCAAATCTAATCAAATCAGAACATGGAGAGATGCAGAATTTTGATGGGTAACAGACAAGCAGTTAACATCATGACAAACAAGCAGCTAATATAACAGTGTGAGATGCTCAGCTGGTAGAAATGTGATAAGTGCAGAAACCTGGACTGGGAACAGATACTTCAAATAATAAAAAGGAAGCAGAAGAAAGAACTGTAAGAGACGTAAAAACAGACAGGCACTTTATGTGAGAACATTAAAGCAGAAGATACAACTGTGAGATATACAGAAACCTGGACTGGGAACAGACGGGCACTTTAAGTGAGCACAATAAAGCAGAAGATAGAACGGTGAGATATACAGAAATCTGGACTGGGAACAGACGGGCACTTTAAGTGAGCACAATAAAGCAGAAGATAGAACGGTGAGATATACAGAAACCTGGACTGGGAACAGACAGGCACTTTAAGTGAGCACAATAAAGCAGATAGAACTGTGAGATATACAGAAACCTGGACTGGGAACAGACAGGCACTTTATATGAGCACAATAAAGCAGCAGATAGAACTGTGAGATATACAGAAACCTGGACTGGGAACAGACGGGCACTTTAAGTGAGCACAATAAAGCAGAAGATAGAACTGTGAGATATACAGAAACCTGGACTGGGAACAGACGGGCACTTTAAGTGAGCACAATAAAGCAGAAGATAGAACTGTGAGATATACAGAAACCTGGACTGGGAACAAACCAGCACTTTAAGTGAGCACAATAAAGCAGAAGATAGAACGGTGAGATATACAGAATCCTGGACTGGGAACAGACAGGCACTTTATATGAGCACAATAAAGCAGCAGATAGAACTGTGAGATATATAGAAACCTGGACTGGGAACAGACAGGCACTTTATATGAGCACAATAAAGCAGCAGATAGAACTGTGAGATATACAGAAACCTGGACTGGGAACAGACAGGTACTTTAAGTGAGCACAATAAAGCAGAAGATAGAACTGTGAGATATACAGAAACCTGGACTGGGAACAGACAGGCACTTTATGTGAGCACAATAAAGCAGCAGATAGAACTGTGAGATATACAGAAACCTGGACTGGGAACAGAGAGGCACTTTATATGAAACCCATGAAAAAATGGATTAAATAGTGAGTGACAAGGAAAGTGTAACAAAGGATGGCTGGAGGAATAGAGACATAAAGTCGAAAGCAGAATAATGTGCAATTGTAATCAGTGAACTTTCAGGTTTTTGAGGTATGAAATGGCAGACAGAACAGTGTGTAGTAGTTGGATACCCCACCCCATTCAAAAAGCATAAGTAAGTGGAGCGTGACAGTCTCACAGTAGTTTTACATCTGACTGACAAGATATGGGTTTGAGCCAAGAAAGCAAGTTTATTCAGCAGACAGCTGAACAACACTAACTACTAGCTACTACCTGTAAAACTAGAACTCTTTAGAAGATCACTGATGCATAGGAAATAAACTACATCTAGAAAACATTTAAACATTAAAGAGGTCAATCTGTGTGTAGCCTGACCTTCATACTTGGTTCTTGAACCTAATTTGTTCTTAAAAGTTTTCCAGAAACCGAGTTGTATAAAATCCTAAATGATTTTTCTCCCAAAAATTAGTTACATTTATTAATTTATTCAATAACTCCAGATAAACATATTTTAACCAATATAACAATACCTCATACATACAACTAAATTGAAAAAAAAAAAAAACTGAAAAAATATACACAATCTTATAATACAAAGAAATAAGCACAATGACTAGATAAATTACTGACTAAAATTTCATCTCTGCCCGTTTCTGTTTTAGCCTGGGTGCTGAGTGGTCTCGGGGCATGGCATCCGCCTTGAATGCTAGAGGTCCCAGGTTCAGGCCCCGATGAATACTGGGATTTTTTCATGTAGACTTCGAGTAATTTCCCCTGGCCTCTGGGTAGTAAGATCGGACACCCATGTGTATTGTTGCCCACGTAAAAAAAAATCTTTGGCAGTGGGAAATCTAAAAGATGCATATAAGGAGATAATCCATACCTCACCTAGCCAGTAGGCCATATACTGGTTTTATGGAACCTCAAGCAAGACTCCTGTCATACATCTATGTGATACGCTACAGATAATGGGTCATAGCTCAAACCAATCTGGCAGGGGATCTCAGAGTTGGTGGCCTTCAGAGATGCAGTGTCCAGAATCTTTGATTCTCATCAGCCCACCCCCCAACGCATGGATGATAATGAAAATCAAAAACTATTTGGAGCATCAGTGAAGCCTGCTGGCCGAATATCCTATTATAAGACAAATCCTAGTTTCAATGTCTGGCGATCAAAAGTCCTTAGAAAGTGCTTCAATGCCCATCAGTCAAGTTCATTATGGCAATACCATCAAAGTCTGAGATGTACATCAGCCAGGTTTCAGAGTGTCGCAACTACATGTGCAGCCATCTCCTTGTGAACTGAGACTCAGCCCTATGAGATTTTACTGCAGCTTAGATGAGCAACATCTCACACAGGCGGTGTCTTGCAGTTTGGCTGATCAGAGTATCATTTATCAGCTCTGCATTTATGTAAGCCTCCTTGGATGAAGGGGGAGTGCCCATGGTCTATCCTTGCCTTCCCTTATGGACCGACCAGTCGACTCGCAGCTGCCATGGATGGGTTCTCCAGGGATAACATCTGTAGATTAGGGGCAAAGAAGACACTACTCAGGGCTACTCATATCCCACAAACTATGTGGGAAGGCTAGCCCAGTGCACAAATGCCCGGTGAAGTCGGATGTTAGTTAGTTAGTTAGTTAGTTAGTTGGGTTATCCTCATTGCACTCCGGACATGTCCATAGGTGCTCAGATCCTCCCCTCAGTATGAAACCCAACGTCCGATGGCTAATAGTACCAGTTCTATGTTGATTAACAAGTCTTCTGGCGTGTCTGGTGTGCGTCTTGTTTTTTGCTGTGCCGATCTTAATTCCCAAGTCTGCCATTCTGGCGAGTGATGTGGATTCACTGCCACCAAAGTCCTCTATCCTTCCCATTTCTCTGAGGGCATTAATAATATCAGCATGATCCATAGGCTGACCGTCGGTGGTGATAGCGGATCCAGCCAACCTGTCAGCTCTTTCATTTCCATCGACGCCTGCGTCTCCCGGAACAAAAATAAAGGTGACTCCACGCACAGTGGACTTCTGTAATGATTCAAGCCATTGTCTTCGCACTGAACCTGCCTGAACCCTCCGGATCATACTCATTGAATCACTGAGTATACAAACGCGGGTGTATTTTTGTGTTTCAAGCCAGGCAAGCGCTTGCGTCACTGCCATCACCTCCATCGTCATGCTGCTGGTTGTCATGGAGAAGGCGCCGTTGGCTTCTTTGACTGTTCTGCCCGCTGAGCGTGCTGTAAATGCCCATGCGCTTCTTCTTTGGCATATAACGGATCCGTCTGTGTAGATTATTGCATCTGCTTCGTCCGAATTTTCACCGACGAGAGCGTTGACCTCTGCATTAACAGCAACAGGATTCTCTTCTCTACATCGCCTGTTGAGTGTGACAATACAGGAAAATGTACAAATAAACGCCTGAGGCACAGGTGAAGTCGGATGTGTCAGCCAAAAGGCGCTAATACTGCCGCCATGCTGTAAAGAAGCGAAACACAATTATGTCACTCAGAAGAATTTAAAGAAAACCTAACCTGCAAAGAACCTGATGACTGCACTAGCTCCCCCGCCCCCCCACCCCTCCCCCTATATCACCCTAAAATGTAGTGAACTAGGTGCCTGGGACTCAAGAGTAAAGTAACTGGAGGAAGTTGCATGAGATGCGGTAGCTGCCGCTCGTGAGTCCCAGCCATCTAGTTTAGTCCCCATTCGCGCCGCCCGTAGCTTCGCGGGGGATACGGTCGGCGGTGAGGGCACACTCGCAAAAGCAGGTCCGCAAGTAACGTATCGCCAAGACCCTGTTAGAGCATTTGT